GCGCCGCTAGCGGAGGAGCTGGCGTTCGACTGTGAGGCGCGTTCAGCAGCCTGCGGCGCCTTTTCGCATGCCAAGCTGTGGCGGCGGAAGCGCGCACGGACGAAACTTTTGCTTTTTGAGCCGATAAGTTGAGGGTGACGTTGCATGAGTGCTGGGGTAGACCTAAGAAAGGCATCTAGCTGTCCTCCACTTCTTATATATTGAGTTTGAGTCGTTATTAAGGGAAATTTCTCTAGTTGCGGCCGAAAAAGGAGTTGGAGCAATTTTCCGAAAAACAAGACGGCCGCCATCTTGATTGGTCTGGGTGGGAAATTTATTTCGCTCGTCGCTGTAAACCTATGACTGCTGGAACGATGATATCTGGAGGCGAGTGAGATGTTCACTAAGTTTGTGCACGAAGAGTGCCAAGTTTCTTTAAGACAGCAGGTGTGAAAGTTAGGTTTCTAATGAATAAAGAAATAAAGCTGTACGGGATATCCAATATTCGACCCAAAATGTTGTGTTATAGCGGGCTGTGTAAAGCGCAGATTTGGGCACACAGGTGCTTGGTCTGGACAGTAACATGACACAGCACTTATTATACAAAAAAAAGGTGGCATAGGGAAACCAGGTGAAAATTGTTTGGGCGGCGTAACTCAATGGGAACCGGTTTTGACCATGAAAAGGCTGTCAAGAGAATACCACTGGTCGGGGGAGGTGGATACTTTAGAGGTAGGAAGGGACTAGGGTGGACTGTACTTCCAATTGAAACAAGTTTACGAAAGGTGGTTCCAAAGCCGAGAAAACAAAGTTGTCGACCAAAACACGGTTTTGCCGCCAAGGGCTTTTGCGGTCTGCTGTTGGGTAATAACCTGTTGTGCGAGGTGCTGATTTTGGGCGCACAGGTACTTTGACATGACCGTCACTTGGCACAACACTTATTATAACAAAAAGAGTTGGCATAGCGAAACCAGGTGGAAATTTAGTTTGGGCGGCGTAACTAAATGGGAACTGGCTTTGACCGTCAAAGGCTGTCAGATAATACCACTCATCGTGGGAGGTGCACACTTTACAGGTAGGAAGAGACCAGTGGACGGTAATTCCAGTTCGAACCACTTTGCGATAGGTGGCTCTAAAGCCGAGAAAAAAAATTGTTGTCTACAGAACTCGGGGTGTCAGCGTTTCCACATCCAAAAGGAGGCTGATCAAGAAAGAAAGCACACCACATAAACTTCCATACTCAAACGTCGATTCTCCAGTGATTCCGAGTTTCATTGTTGTTTTCTTTAGATTTATATTTGTCACTTTTTTTACCGTTCGAATCTTTCTTCATGAAGTACAGATTGCGTGCCATACTTGTCCGGAAATACCATCGACACGGACGATGGGGACGAAACTTCTTTGGAGGGCATTCCTCCAACGAAGCTGGCACTGCATACCCACGAGTGTGGGATGGCATTTCGGTTCGTCCCATCGGCGCTGACACATGTAGGCGTTACTGGTACGAAAACAAACGCAGAGCGCAAAGCGGCAGTGTAGAATATGTCAGCCCTGCCGACACAGTGGCAGACATGATCGGGAGACCAAATTTCTCGCGTCGTACGGCACGGCTCCATCGTTGTCGCTTTCCCACGAAACATCGGCGAGGTGAAAAAACTATGAAACTTCGTCCCAACGAGACACGACGCATAACTATTGAATGAAGCACTTAATGACGCAGCACAGGCAGCACTTCATGCTGTAAACCCAGCGCAACTGCACCACTCCGACTTCAATGCGTACCAACGCACGCGGCGTGGTTTCGGTTTCGTTTTCTCTGGGGTTCTCGCTGCCTACCTTCGGTACCGGCCGCGCGGCGGCGCGCCAGTCGCGTCGCACGGAGCTCTGACCCGTTTGTTTTCCCCACGCTCGGTGTTTACTCAACACAAGGCCTGTACACATGCCAACAGGCCTTATGGGCATGGCCATGTCATCTTCTACAATAGAGCGCGGGGCACAGTTTAATGTAAAAAATACTAACAATCGACGAAGCGACGTTAAGTGCCGGATCTATCTTCTGAGAATGCGAGCTTGACCCACTTCGGCTTTTGTGCTAAGCTGGGATCGTGCATGCTGCATTGTTCATGCAGGCCGTCGTGGAAACAAAAGAGCCCCTCCTCCCCCTCGCCGGAGAACACGAACTCCAGTCGAACGCTGACGCCGCGTTCGGTTATGTCGGCCGAGCGCTGCGTCATTGTGTTTGTTGTCCCCATCCGTGTAGTTGATAAGTTAACCGCTTGGGGCGTAACGGTCTGTCCTCCTCCCCACCGTACTTTGACGAAAAATGACAAATGGCCCAAGAAAAAGTTTGACGAACTTTTTTCTTGGGCAGATTTTCAATCGCACTATACTCGTTTTCACCTCAAGAAAAAAGCAAGTTTTGCGCATTGTTCATACGCGGCGCGAAGTAGTTCTTCCGAGATTTGGTTGTCAGGGGAAAAAGCGATGCTTTTAGCGTTCGAAACGCTTACGTCTTGGTAAGATAGCATATATGTAATCTAAAATTCACCTACATATATCATAATTATCAAGATAAAGAGGGAAATCAGTAACGCTCCGTGAGGAGCCGGACTTTTTTTACTACGGTTCTTGAGGTGAAAACAGGTATAGTCAATGATAATGTAATTCGAAACAAAACCCCTCGTTTTTCTGTTCTCTCTTACAGTCGGTCCTTTCATTTCAAAGCCGTTTCACCTTACGATATACCGCAGCGGACGCTACGCGGCACCGTAGCCAATCAAACGCCATGTTCGTGTCACGTGACCTTCAAGAGGGCCGCAGCGACGCGCGGTGCGCGGGTGATGTGATACGTGCACAACGCTGGATTGGCTGGGCTTGTTCGTAGCGTAAAATAGTTTCTTGTTGGGCGAGTTGGTGAACGTTTGGATACATGGTTTTGCACAAAAAAGACAGACACAAGAGAGAGAAACAAACACGAGCGCTCGTGTGTGTTTCTCTCTCTTGTGTCAGTCTTTTTTGCGCAAAACCATGTATCCAATTGTTCGTAGCGTCCACTGCAGCCCGTGGTAAGGCGAAACGGGGTACAGTAGGGATCTCGCTCCATCACGTTTCCTGAAGAGAAGTCTCTGTCGGGAGATGCCGACGCCGATTAGGCACAGGTTTCGGAGTGAGAGGAGCTGGCATCGGGTACAAATAAGGCCCCTTGGGTACAAAGGGCGCAACGAGAGTGCTATGCAGTGGCGGCACGTACAATTATCGCGCGATAACAGCCGTTGTTTTCATTGCAGCCGAAGAAAAGGACGAGTGGAAGCGCAATGCGCATGCATTGCGCTTCCACTCGCACGCAATGCGCATGCGCATTGCGTGCGAGTGGAAGCGCACGCAATGCCCATGCGCACGCAATGCGCATGCGCAGAACCCTTTGCGGAAATCACATTTCGGACCGGAAATCGCCTTACGTGCGAACAAAGCTTCTCACCTCTCGTGTCAGGTGGCGTGTTGCGCGGTGAAGAGGCGCTAAACAAGGAGGTTAGAAGTACTAGGAGGGGGCACGTTGCAATATTGGTGAAGCCTAGTCATAAAAAGTTTAAACGATTTTGTGCCCAGCGTGACCGCAGATCTCTCTGGCGATTGGTGCGCGTGACATGTCACGTGTGAGATGGATGGTTGATTGTAGAAGGGCTCCTTGGACTTGCGCGCGCCCCGTCCGGTAGGTTCTATCAGATCGAAGTCTAGACTGTGGTGTATTCTAGTACCCCATAGCAAGACGAAGGCTAGCTACGGTCACGTGGTGTGGTCACGTTAGCATGGTAAGTGAGGAGAGTAAGGAGGAAAATGAGAAAGAGGCGAGGCGTCAAGGGAGCATGGCTTGTGGAGGCTACGCGGCCGACGTCATGCCCTCTCCTATCCTTCTATTCTCCATGGCGCTATGGTGACGCTAAAGCAGGAGACACATATGAGCGATGGAAACAGGCGCCGCGCGGCAGTATCATAGCAACCGGTGCTGGCGTCCCTACGTCACTTCCGCCGCGTGCGCCTAGCGGCGAGCGGCGCACCTCTAGGCGCACCGCGCGACGACTCCCGACTCTCCTGAGGCAAATAAATTAAATGAAACGAAACTTTCTGACATGAAAGAAAATAAACTATTCTTATAAAGCCGTTATGTTTCGTATTTTTACTTGGACCAGCTCAGTGTTGAATAGACGGCTGATTAGGCAGCAAAACTGACTTTTTTCATTTCGACAAAAACCCCGAGACTGGGACGAAAAGGGGACGGACAAACACAAAGTCTCAAGACTTTGTGTTTGTCCGTCCCCTTTTGTCCCAGTCTCGGGGTCTTTGTCGAAATGTTTAACCACCACCAGCTCGTTTGCGCCCTTACCTTTTGTTGACTGTTTTCACAACTTCAGAATTTTTTTTTAATCTGTGACGTATTTTTTGTACAGCCTCAACATTATTTATTTGTAATACATCTACAGGGATTAAAAAAAAAACAAAAAACAAAAAAAACAAGTTTTATTTGCCAGGTGCAAAGCGATAATGAAATAAAAATTGACGAAAAGGGGCTAATTTTGTGCATTTTGTTGAATTTATAAAAAAAATATTTTAACAATAAAAATTGCATAATCATCCCAACAGAGCAAGCTCAAAGCAAAAAAAAAAAAAAAACGGATTTTTCTTTAATTACTGATTGATGCCTAGATTTACGCCCAGTTTAGAAGTGCACACTATGCTCACGCCAACTGGAAATCGCCGGATATAGGGAAAAATCCGCATACTGCTGTTCCGTAGTTGGCATGGAACGCGGTGTCATACTTTCATAGTGCGCCCGGGCGTCAGGTGTCATGAAGGCAGCACACTCCCCAACCGCAACCAGCTTCGCTCTTTTTGCACCACCGTTTGTTTGCACGGCGAAAAATTTGGGTTCCGGAAAGCGCGCGCGCTCAACTTCACCGAAAACTGCAGGAGCAACAGCAGCCGAGCGGCAGTCGCCGCTCGCACCCGCCAGCCGCCGCCACTGCCGCCCCGCGCTGCCCGCGCCCCGCACTACTTTCGACGCGCGCGCAAGCGTGCTTCCGCGCCGCCTTCGCACCGCCTGCGCCTGGCGCCGCTTCTCCCTCCTTGCCTGGCTAGCTGTCAAACGCTACCACCAGTTGAGTCAGGGCCAGCCGAGGTGTGCGCTTCGTCAGTAGTTAATCGACCAAGCATCGCCGCGTCGCTCCAGATTTCACTTTTGAACCCCTTCGGAAACTCGTCGCAATGTCCGAGGCAGAAGCCGGCACCAAGACCGAGGAACAGGCGAAGCCCGCGGCGGCGGCGGCTGCACCGGCTGCTGCGGAAGAGGCCGCGGCTGCTCCTCCAGTGAAAGAAATGCGGGCCGTCGTCCTCACGGGCTTCGGCGGTCTCAAGACGGTGAAGATTCTCAAAAAGCCCGAGCCAGCGGCCGCCGAGGGTGAGCTGCTCGTCAGAGTCAAGGCCTGGTGAGTCTCTCTCCTCCGGCGCCCCTTTCTTCGTTCGTTGGCGCCGCCGCCGCCGAATTTTCGGATGGGCGGTGTCTGGCTCTCAAGACTGAGCGCCACAGTCGAGCCGCGCAGCCACACGAGATGCCGTGACAGCGCACCCGTCACGCGACTCGTGTGCGCTGCCCCGAGTGCTTGTTTCCGGCTGCTGGGGACCATGTCTTTTATCTTTTAACCCCCGACGATTTGGGTTAGAGAGGGGCGGCCTGCACACGAAGGCTTCCCCAGGGGCGGCAAACCTGGGAGCAAGGATGCCTGCTGCGGGCTCAAACCGTGCCTTTGCGGGGGTGCGCCCCCCTCCCCCCGTACGAGGGGAGTTGCCCCGCTTCTGGGCATTCCGAGTGCCACTTTCCGCCATTCTCGCTTGTTGCTCCCAAAATTCGGCCAAGTGGGAGCTGGCAGGGGGTCAAAAGCCTCCGCCGGGAGCGCTCGTTTTCTGGAGTTGGCAAGTGGCTTTGAGAGTGGGGAATACGGGACAGAGGGGAAACAGCTGGTTGACGCCTTCCGCGTCGTGTGGGGGCTTTAATTGGGTTTTTGAACTCCTAGCTGTAGTTGCGATGATGTATGTGCGTAACGCCCCCACTGCTTTCCAAACTCCAGTACGCGCGGGTGTGGTGTGTTCTAGCATATGTTTAATCGTCCGAACACTGGTTGCTCGGTTTTCCGGACGAACTGTGTTCCTTAGAACTCGGCGCTCAAATGTCACGCTGCCCTTACGCAACGAGCAGCGTGGGGTTTGTGGATCTCATTTCGACCTTCTGCATTTGCAGCCGCGCTTTGCAGCTGTAAATTAGTGAGCTCGTAAACTCTCGGGAGGAGCGGAGCTCCTCCGAAGTGCGCCGAGTGTGACGCCATTTTCTTGGCCACGGGCCGAGTTTCTTGGGCTGAAAATCGAATTAGGGGAGCTTGTGTCCGCGTTGGGAGCCCAGGGTACTACACCTTGGCGCGTCGACAAGGTTTCGGGATTTGTCCCGACCCGACGATGAGTGGCTTCGTGAAGGTTTTTTTTTTTGCTACTTTTTTTTTTTTTTTTTTTTTTTTTTGTTCATTTGGAACTTTTGTAGTGACGCAATCGAGAGCTCGTTTGGTATTACCTTTCCGGAAAGTTTCTTTTCAGGACCGTGTCGGAGTCTTCTGAATCTTCGAGTCGTTTTAGTACGGAGAATCGAAAAACAGTTGTTCGAACTACATGGCGTTTATAAGACAAGTAGGGGCGTGCGAATTGCGTTCAGTTATTCACAGCCGTCAAAGTTCTAGGGAAGCTCACGACATGCCGGCTCTTTGCAGTGTTGACGCTGCGGTTTTCTAAGCAGTATTCGCACATCGCTAGGGACAAGCTGTTTTTCGCACCGCGTAGAGCAGACTTCGCCCGAATATGCCGAAAAGCTGTTTCGCCACAAGTCAGCACAGTCAAGATGTGTAGACTAGAAGTGCGAGGTCACGGCGCATTGACTGCGGCTGATCGACTTGACCGCGCCAGTAATTGCTCGCGCACGCACGCACACACACACAAAAAAAAAATTCATGTATTGGTCACGTCCATAGCGTCGGTCGGGAGGGACTAGCTAGGAAGGGTGGTTTTCGGACCTAGCGTGTTCGTTTAAAGTCTGTACTTAGATTAACTTCCAACGATAAATACGTTTAGTTTACTCCGCTTGGACCAAACCGATAGCGGTGCGTTGTCCAGGATGGATGGCTTATTTGCACGGCGCGAAAAATGCGGTTCGCCTCGCGAACTCCTTACCGCTTGTGCTTTTCACGCACATCTATTTTTAAACGAGTTGATCTTTCGGTGCATGCACTGCTGGAACTGATTTAAGCTTTTTGTGTTTTTTTTTGTTTGTTTGTTTTTGTTTTAGCGGCTTGGCGAGTCAAACCTGTTGCAGGTGCAGGAAAGTTTCGCGGCGCTGATAGCCGTTGTAGTGCGGAGCACGTGCCCCAGGTTGTCGATCCATATCGTTGAAATCCGAAATTGTGGTTTGTGGCACCGTTCACGATTTTGTTGCGGCGATAAATGCCGGAACGAGTAGTCGTTACGTCACGATGATGCAGCTGGTGCGTTTAACTGCCGCGTCAGGTTCGTAGAACTTTCGCAACTGGAACTGACAGGAGAAGTCGTTGGGGGAAACCGACGCGCCTTCCATGTTTTTTAGGGCTTCTGCATCGAATCTAATAGGGCGTGGTCATCTCTAGTACATCTCTGCGAAAGGAGGCGCATGTTGCGAATTAAAGGCCGACCTACAAAATCATTTTCCGCAAAGTAGGAAACTCCTCTCCCACTGCTGTCTTCGTGGCGGGGAAAGTCTTTTTGCTGCTGCATATTAAGGGTGGATAAGTCGGGATAAACTCCCGGCTTATCCAGCCCCAAGATGCAGAAGGAAACCCGCCGTCGAGGTAGCAGTTGGGGAGGGTGGCAAGGATTTTTCCTACCTTGCAGAAAAAACCTTTAGCTGTGAAGGCTATGAATAATGCAGCGCTATATCGACATCGAGTCCAGGCTTATCGTTACACTGAGGCCACATCATTTGGAGTTGTCTGCACAATTGGCATAATTGGTGTTCTTTTTTTTTTTTTTTTCTCCATGCGCTTCTACATTTATGCTCGTTACACTGTGGGCGCTGTGAATGGATTTCCACCAATTGACCATGGTAGTCTCGGTCGAACGCCGGCCCCCAGTTGGAGAGCGCCGTCCAGGTTGAAGGGCGATGAGGTGACGGATTGTCTCTGGTCTGGTGAGCCCACCTGGGCCTCGTGAACTGGAACGTTTTATCCGCGTTTGTGTCGGGAAGAGTAGACTCTTGGACGTGGCTGGGCTGAGCTGACAACTATGCGTCAGGACCGGCTCAAAACATGCTATCGCCGACCCTGGGCTGCTTGTGGCTCGTTGTGGGAGGGAAGAATGCAAGTAAAATCAGTTTTAAGTATAGGGGATGAAAACGGGAAATGGGAACATTGATAGGATAATTCACGGGGGAGCTCGTTGTTATTCGAGGCTAGGAGCATTGAGGACTAGGACATAAAAGTATGAGGAAATGGATATGCGGTGTGCCGTATGCCAAGGGGAAGACGAGACAATAGAGCATGTGTCGTTGAGGTGCACAGGACTTGCTCCCGCCCTCCCGGAGGGGGCGACGGATTTAGTTGGAGCGCTGGAGTTTTTAGACGAAAGTGGAATGGATGATAAGTGCACTTTAATAACGGAGGAGATTGGAAGACTCGTGGAAAATATATTGGAAGGAATTGAATGATGTACAACTGACTGAAGGAGCTAGGGATAGGCGGGTGATATTCCACACAGCCCGGTGATAGTTAGGAAATTGCAGGGGGTAAACAAATTGGCGAAGGAAAGAAATGGTACTTTTGGTCCACATTTTTGTAAGTTAGGTGGCGCAAGCTACCGCCCGATATAAAGGGTACAGCTGTTAAGTGTGTGTGTGTGTGTGGGGGGGGGGGGGGGGGGGCGGTTTCGGCCCGTATGGCGCCCGTCCCGAGCTAGTCGAACAAAGGGCGGCGCTTGAAGCAGCCGGCCTCTATTCTGTTCGCCGGTCCTGTATGCCCGGGGGTTCCTGTATGGAGATGCCTTTGGGATTTTTGCGCCGCCGTGTGCGTTTGGGGGGGGGGGGGGGGGGGGGGGGGATTTTTTGGTTTTGGACACGCGAACTCTATGGAGGCTCCTTTCATAATGCTACGGCCGGGAGGGGATGTCTGACTTGAAGCATGGTTTAAAAAGATCCGCGGGACTGATGTCGGCAGGTTCTGCAGCTGAATACGGCGCATAATGTCATGAAGTAGGTAGCGACGTCTGCTCTCTCTGGGTTACATTTGACGCCGCGAGTGCCCCTGCTCGTTCTTGCCAGTAGAGCGGCAGCAAGTGATTCGGAGGTGAACGCGTCAACGTCGAAATTCACGCAGAAACGAGCGCAGGATTAGCAAGCGCACAAAAAACCAGATCTTCGCTTGATTGGCGGATGGTGGCATTGGCTGCGGTCGTGCGAGTTTGGGCGTATAAACGAGTCTCGTTATGCAGGCTGTCATCATGGCGCCGCGTTTTAAACGCTTTATCAGGATTGTGTTCCGCCAATCCTGGCGCATATTTCAACGCAGCCTTTACGGTGTAGTGTGGTGGCTAGAAGGGGAAGTGGGGCGGGCGGGAGGGAGCGAAGGGCTCCACAGAGTTGCGATGAAAACGACTCCCCTGCAGACTGCTGCAACCCTCGCGGTGGCGAAGATTTTCATCGCAACACTCGCGCTGCCCGCCGCGCGCGCTTTCAAAGGTCGCATAGCTTCTTTATATGTTGACTCGGGTTTCAGGCTCGGCAACTACATGAATTGCACACGTTTCGCCCGTTAAATGGGTCTTGCGCCTGAATTCCGCGAGGAAATTTTTTGGGGACTGCTGAGGGCACTGCAGGCGAGTCAGCGGCTCCAAACATTGTGAGATACATTTGATTTTCCAACGTGCTGGATCGGGGTCACTGACGTGTTGGTCATCTGTGAGCGTTTCCGCCTGCTTTCCTCTTCGCCAAGCGAAAACACTGACCATGCGCGCTTGCGACCAATCTTCGGTGGCGTCCGCCATTAAATTAATTGCAAACTCACCCCATGGTTTGGTATAGACTTTTCTACGATCAAATTTTTCATCGCGTATCGCGCCCCTCTTTCTATCATTGCGTGCATACGGCGCCCGTCACACCTGCCCTTCCAGCCACCATAGAACCTTGTTCCACCAAAAGTCAACGCGCAGCCAACGACGATCCGGTGGGTATAATCAAGCAGCACCAAAAGCGCCCCATCGCACCGCCCGTCGTCTGTCTGGTATCGCGGGCTAAACCATTCGAGGACAGTGAGTGCGTCGTGACTTGGCGCTTTTGGTCTTTTGGGCCTGTTTGGACGGATTCTAGGCTGCGCTCAAGTGAAACCAAGTGTAAAGAGAAGCATACGCGTATTGCGTCTCCTTCATG